TATTCGTTTTGGAAAACCCAGTTTGCCCACCTCGTGCCGGCCTTGGTTGCAACACTTTACCGCTTTGAACTAAGCGCATCTACAAAAAGGGCGAAATCAAGCACTTTAACGTCATCAAAGGCGTTGCTACAATTACCGCAAATTCCCACAAACATGTCTGGGGAACTTTCCTTTTACAGATCCGACTCGTGACATTCGGAGAACCACGAACAGGAAATGTTGCCTTTGCAAAGGAGATTGAGGAACACATCCAATTCCGCTATCGAGTAGTAAAGAAAAACGACTTCGTGAGTTGAAACATAATTTCACTTCAGTTCTACACCGAAATATTCGGATAGATGTGAGAATTTCAAGAATGTTAGCCACTAAATAATATTATATTCGGGGGAATAGGTAGTAAGGTCTGGTAAACTGTTCTAAGACTTGTGTGGTCAGAATGTAACAGTGAAGAGAAAGAATTCAACTGATACAACTCTTTTACACCTAAGATATTTGGCAATTTTGACTACAATAACAATTTTAGATTGCAAGCGTACCAAGATCAGCGGACCCAGCAGCATCTCTTTTGACAGCCACAATGTATGAGAGACAACCGCTGTTTTACAGATATCTAGTGCATTACGATAATAAGATGAAAAAAGGCGACACATTCAAGGTGATTCTCAGTGATTTCGTCAGATTAGTTTTTATTAGTATTCGCATTGCAGATATGTGAACTTTCTGACGATTTTGGTTGTCGCAACACGAATTTCGCTTATGATCTCGATGACCATCGAACGTACTTCCATATAGACTCAGACAAGTTTATAGAAGAAGGATGTCCGCGTGATCACTTGTTTTAGGAGATTTTATGCTGTTGTATCTATTGCTTCTATTGTTTTAATAAATATCAAATCTTTACTACATATGAACACTGAAAATGGTCAAGTGCATTCACTTCGGCGAAGTACGGGCATGATGAAGTTCAGAGGCCCTGCTTTGCTGAGAATATCAAAAACACACAAACACCAGAGCCAAAGTATTTATTCCGACAGCGGAAGAGCTCAAACGTGGGAAATTTAGTTACTGTTTCCCATGGTAGTTTGAATAGGGAAGCAAAACAAGCAAAAGTAAACGAACAACGAACGAAGCTATCATTAACGTCACGTACCATGAAGAATCTGGTGAGATTCAATCTTTCACATGCAGAAGTTCTTGGAAAAAGTTTTCAAAACTGCCGTGATCGCATAGGCAGAGATTAGGAAGTGAAGTAGTGGAGATGTCAGGTTCGGCAATACGGGTCCTGATGTGATATGCAATCAAGAAGGATGCAATGCAAAGAGGAGTCAAAAAGAATCCTCTACATTGTGTTCACTTTTATTCGGTGCAATCACCGGTTGAGGTGGTACATTTATGATGACGGAGACCTTGCGCCTGTAGTTGACTAGGTATTTCTTCTATTGCCTTTCTAACTGACCTTGAAAATCACTTTCATATTCTTAGAGATAGAACAGGCTTCACTATCAACGCAGACAATACACTTATCAGCCTCTTCCGTACAATTGCTTCGTTGAAGCAACAAAGGGGCTTTTCCTTGTATGGGAAGGGAGCATAGTACCCATCGTTTCTGCTTTGTATGTTTGACTCAACTCATGGCTTTTGTATCGTTGTTTTGCTGTTTAAATAGCAACTGAACACACGATTCATCACAAACCGTAAACTTGGGTAATCGACCGTATTCCGAAGATACATCAACTATGCTAAGATACGAAAATAAGCATGATTACAAACATAACAGTGAATACTTTATATGTTAAGCAATGACTAGGCGCATATAGTCTGCTTCAACTGGGATCAGGCCGAAACTCTGGCTAAGTGTGCGCCCTCGCAGCGCCAGGGATTCGCGTTGCATATGTCGTTGTCGCGCTGTCGGAGAGAGCGAGGAGACTGGAGAGAGTGCAGACAAGCTAGCCGCAGATTTGGCGCGA